ACAATTAGAGTGACTTTCTTGAACAGAGAGATGAAACAATAAGACTGTTAATACAATATTTGTTGTATGTTCTGGCTACATGCAAAAGACAGGGTGTCCAAGACAGAGCATCATGAGCTATGTTACAATGAGACTCTGCTTGTCTTTGTTTTATAATAATGAATTAGTGTACTACAGAGGCTTTGGAGGCCCTTTATATGTGCTTTTTCTTTTAAGAAGAAATGAATGCATCTGAGAGTATTGTGACAGAGAAAAATGAGATTACGATACAAATGCTATGCCTACCAACACTGGAGGAGAGGACATTGAGCCCAGATCCACGTCAATGCAGAGAAGCCCAATAAAGAAGGGAGGAGAGAGGAAGAAGTCACATGCAAGGGGAATGACTAGAACAGTGGTCGCCAACCTTTCGGAAGTCACAGACCACCAGTGGTCCGCGGTCCACAGGTTGGCGACCGCTGGACTAGAAGACTGAATAAGGAAAGCCTTGATAATATATCTGCTTATGTCTCCCACTAAATAGGGGCAAGTAGGAAAAGAGTTCATTCCAGGATTTAGAAAGACTTACCAATAATATTACTTAATTTTCATTTCTTGTAAGATTTCAGAAACACATTCTCTACTTGAGTATTTGTCTCTCTTTTTTTTTAATATATATGCTTTTATTGATTTCAGAGAGAGGAAGGGAGAGGAAGAGGGAGAGGGAGAGACAGAAACATTAATGAGAGAGAAACATCAACTGGCCACCTCCTGCACTGGGGATCAAACCCATAACCCGTACACATGCCCCAACTGGGAATTGAACTGGTGACCTCCTGGTTCATGGGTCAACACTCAAGCACCGAGCCACACCAGCAGCTGCTTCTGTCTCTTCAAGAATACATTTTGAAAAATCAATAAGGTTTTGGAATCTCACCTAAAATCATTGTTTTACATAATCCTGAAACCAAAAAAAGGTGAATGAGTCATTCAGTATACCCTCTCACCCCCAAATAGTGACTTTGGATATCCTGACTTTGTGATTAGCGATCCATGAACCAGGTCTATGTCCAAAACAAGATTGTAGATATTCCTATTGGACTTCAAAATTCTAAACCCCAATGGTGACTTCAGGCTAATTGCCTCAGAAACATTTAAAAGAATCCCCTTACTACACATCCCATAGGATGGACCTAGTAGATACAGAGCAAAGCAATTTTCAAAAGCCAAGGAGATTAAAGAAAAAGTTTGTTTGTTTTTTAATGCAGAGAGATTGTTCTGAAGAAGAAATAAGTCTAAAAAGACAGTAAAACCAAATGTAATAGGTGACCGGTGATTGGATTCCATCACAACAAAATTATAAAGGGTATTCCTGGGAAATTGCAAATTTTTAATGCAGATGAAATATTTAAAAGTATTATTATTTAAAAATTAACCTCTTGACTGATAATAGTATTGTGTTTAGGTAGAAGAATGTCCTTGTTATTTGGAAATGCTCCTGAAGCAGTTAGGAGTGAGGCATTTATCACAATGACTGCAATTTCAAACAGGTCCACCCAAAATGTGTGTGTGTGTGTAGATATGTGAAAAACATTAACCATTTGTAACTCTAGATGAAATCTACATGAAATATTATTTCAACTTGTGTGAAGGTTTAACATCTTTAACAATAAATATCAGAAGAAAAAAATAAACTGTAATAAAAAAATAAAACAGCCCAGCTGACATGGTTCAGTGGTGGAGCATCAACCTATTAACCAGGAGGTCATGGTTTGATTCCTGGTCAGGGCACATGCCTGGGTTGCAGGCACAATTTCAAGTGTAGGGTGTGCGGGAGGCAGTCAATCAATGATTCTCTCTCATCATTGATGTTTCTATCTCTTTCTCCCTCTCCCTTTAAAATATATTTAAAAAAATAAAATAAAACAAAAAAAACCCCACATTTTTTAAAGCATGATGGAGGTAGAGAAGTACAAACACAACCCACGATGTCACCCTTTATTCAAAATAAATGTAGGGCTTGTAATGGCTAAACAATGTCATTAAAAGAGCTTCCCTGCATTTAATAGGCTATTCTAAGAAAACAACAAGATAATTATTGTTATAAAGTCTCCTATGGCTCTTAGGAAATGTGAGACTTGCTACAAGAAAAAATCAACAGAAAAAAATTCTGCAGGTTAACCTTTCAGTTATTTGAACAATAATAAAGTTATGGGCTGGTTTTTAGCTGCTCTTTTCATTAAAGTGTTACACTTTTTTCGTGACTAAACGTGTACTATACTTCCCTTTTTGAATGTTAAGTAAGACCAAGCTTTAGCAAGTCCCAACTTGAGACTGGCATAATATGCTTGAAGGCAAATGGGTACGCCTCATGTTAACTTTTTCATTACTAGATTTAATTTGCATCACTGAGCAAAGAAACTTTTAAATACGACAATCCCACTGTTATATTAAGGAAGGAAAAGCCTATTTCATCCCCAACCCCACCCTCAGGGAGAGAAAAAGAGGGCAACTTACTGCCCCTTCCTTCTTCCATGAGGAGATCTTTGTTTAAAAACAACAACAACAACAACAACACAGAGAAAGTCAAGTTGCTTCTTCAAACACCAGGTCCTTCTTCAAACTTAGAAAGGCCTATCATAATCTTCATGCACTGGCCTCCTTTCAGAGACTATTTTAAAGGCACTCAAAACCAGGAAATATACTCCTAAATTATCAAAACATTTTCCCTTCAAATTCAAAATAGGAAAGTATATCAAAAACAATTTCAACAGCTTGATATACTCAGGAATTTTCTTTAACATAAAACATCAGTATATAGTTAGTTGACCCCAATAGGACAAGTCAACCGAAGTAATAAATGCATTAAAATTTAAAGTGGATAGCAGAGTGTCTTCATTTCTTTAGCAGAAGCTTGTGGAATATTTATCCAAATAAGCTCTTTAATGTGATTTTGTATACACCACTGAAAATCTGGGATGATAATCCTCAGAACTTGCAGAGAGGATCTTTGCTCAACATACTTTGAAAAAGGCTGTAAGGGATGTTCTCTCCTTCTGAACTGATGCTTTTAAGACTTGGCCATTTGTTGTTCTGCCACTTAGGTTTCACATTAAGAGCAGAACATAATCCATGTATGGATCATAGTGACAAGTGGCAAAAAGTTCAACCCAAGAAGGACAAGTCTTTCAAACTAAGGTCTACAATGAACTGGCTTCAGATGCTAAAAGCAAAATCCATGGCACAAAGCAGAGTCAATGTTAAATAAGCTGGCTAATTTTTGTTCAGAGGCATTCCTTAGGGCTAGCTACTCATCCACACATAATAAACCCTCCCTAAAAAGAATGGAATGAAAAAACCATTAAAATTGAAGTTGTTTGTTTTTGTTTGATTAGGAAAAAGGAAGAGAAGTAACATAATTTTGATATTCAACTATTGGTATTTAAATCAAACACATTTGTTTTTCTGTCAAACTTGGAAAGAAAACCAACTACACAGTCCATTATTTCCTTAAGGCATAAATAAACACTCCGTAAATCTATTATTGATTTACTACCTTCAAGAAAGTTTCCATCTTTGATTATTATTTTCATTTATTGTCATCCATGATAGTAACAGGTTTTAATTCCATTTCATAAAATTATATTTTTATTTTTCACTTATTTGTTCAAATATTGCATTCAAGAAAGTCTTGGACTCCTTTGGAGACTTTTATCTGAAAGTTCTAAAATTAATAAGAAAAAGGGATCTGATTATATAAGTTCATCACTGTGCAAAGATTTTTAAAGATAACAAAACAAGCTGTCCTGTGTTTTAAGAATGAAATTCAAGTGCTTCTGGTGCTGTCAGCTGCCGCCATGTCCACCTTGAGCCCTCACTCTTGCCTGAGTGACGGAGGCACTGTGCTTTTATCAGGCCGACCCTGTGTGGATGAGACCGAGCTGCTCGGCAAGAACAGCAGCATCAGGCCTGGCTCCAGAGCATCGAAGACAAAGACAGCAATCTGGTACCTACTATCAGGCCAGCCTCAGAGTACCATGATGCGGAGGAAGAGGAGAATGAAGACAGTGAAGAGGGCTTGGAGGATGATGAACAAATGAAGAGGACATGCAGGACATGGACAAGATGAACTATAGTGACTCGCCTGATGATGGAAAAGTCAATGAAGTGGACATGGAAGGCAACGGAAAGGATCAGGGCCAGTGGATGAGCTAGGCAGACAAGGCAGGGTGGCCTGAGGGAGATTCCAGGCTGACCCAAGTACCATGCAACCCCTGACAACCAGCTGGTCACCCCAGTGCCTGAAGCTCACCCTCAGGCACCTCCTCAGCAGCTGCCAGGACCTGGTAGAACTCCCTGGGCCTAAGCCCATCCCACCTTTCTGGCCAGTACCTCACCCCTTAGTTGCCAGGTATAGTCTCTTTCTAAATCTTTTTAATAAAAACAGGACTGATCCTCCCCAACCCCGCCAAAGAATAAAATTCAAAAGTTTCAGAGAATTTTCCCCTTAAGTAACTTTATTTTAAAAAATTTAATATTTATATTTGTGTATTTGTAAAAAACAGCTCTGTAGAGCTCATCAGATTCTTGCATACGACTACAGATTTCCAAAGGTATCAATTACTAATATATATACATTAGAATTTTAGTCATTAAGTAATATGTAAAATCTTTAAAGGATTTGTCTTTTATAAAATATATTTTTATTCCTTTGAGCCAAAATTTAATTAGCAAGAAGGCTGTAAATGCATATTTTCTTACTAGCATTAGGAAACCCTCCCCCTTCAAAAAAAAAAAGAAGGAAAGAAAGAAAGAAGAAGCAGAAGAATGAAACACTGGGTTGATTTCGTAGGGCCCACCTGACACTTCATCCCCTCTTCCTTAAAGAGTCCTCTGGCATCCTAAGGCCCAGCCCTCCGTGTTTCCTGCAGGTGACTCACCGTCTGATTCCTGCTGGTTCAGGAACTGCTCTGCCCCAGTCTACAGATCTCACCTGCTCTTCGATGTGAGTCACTGACATTAGCAAGAGAGCAAGTTGCTCCAGTTGTTCCTGAACAGGAGACTCTGCAAGGTGCCCAGAGGACCATCTCAAGACGGGTCGGGAAGCACCTACCTTCTCTGGCAGGGGAGGAAAATGTTTATTTTCCATGCTTTCCCCAAAACCCCACATCCCTGCCAACCTTAGTTTTAAGGTGTATTCTTACTTAGAGTTGAGAAGCCTGTTTCAACTTAAAGACACCAGTATCAGGTGAATGGACAACCAACTTCCGCAATGAAAGGTAAATAAAAACTTTTTTTTTAATTGTCTGCAAAGCTGTGGTTGATAGGACGCAGCACTGATTAAGACTGATTGCACCTCTGCTGAAATCTGAGGTCTGAAGAAAGGGGAGGAATTAGAACGCTAACTGAATGATATGTCTTTGGAAGGCACCACTTTTTGACACAGGCGCCATGTGTCCTTCCCAGAGCTTCACTGTGTACGAGGCAGGCAGGCAGAAAATGTACAGTGTGTATGTGTGCATGTGCCTTCGAATGTAGAAATGATGTTCTGGAAATCATTCTTATTAGTGAATTTTTTTTTAATCACAAATCGAAAGTGCCTTGTAATTGTTTACCAAGACCCAAAACTTAAATTTGTTTCATAATCTTTTACTCACATTTTATGTTTAGAAAAAAAGACCAGAAGGAAAACAGTAATTTTTCTATTCTGATTGCCTCATTTTGATAAAAGAATCTCAATCTTTTCATTGTACCACAAAGAACAGGGCAATTTTCATTCTAAATCCTTGCGAGATCATGTTAAAACATGTCAGAAAAGGCACTGAGAAAACTGCCCAGCTACTGACAAACAGCTCAGCAACGGCCTGGTTCTGGTTTATGTTCAAATCATTAGGGAGTTTTCGCTTGATTAAGGAAAAGGAGAAGCAAGCATGGAGATCTGACCCCTTCTAAGTTATAAAGGGGACTTTAAAAGATAGGTGAGTCTATGGCAGAGTGACTTTTTGATGTATTAGGTTAAGAACTGTCTATTATAGAATTTTATATCATATTCTCAAGTTGGATCTACTTTCATGTGAGGTATGTTAACATTTTTAACAACTTTCTTTCTAATTAAAGATTCCAATTTACTAGAAAAATGAAGAGCAAAGTTTGTTTCTATATTATCATCTACATAGCAGGGCTCGGGGAAAGAGCCAGACACTGCTGATATTTTATTTCATTATCATTTCTACCAGTTTGAGGTTATCAGTCTTTCCTCCGTGAAGTTAGGGATCAAGTAGATGTGTCTCTTAGTACTGCAGCAAAATCCTATGGTAAACCTATTTCTTCCAACACCTACTTGAAAAGCAATTCAGGTATGTGTGAGCTGGGATAAGGGGTTGCAGGAGCAGTTAGATTGCTGATATACTTAACAATGTAGCCTACAGGAAAAGCATAATTAGTCAGAATATGGAAACTATTTCATGAAGAGAAGAGGAGAAATGTTCCCAGCCACAGACAACATGCTGAGAGGGCTCCGTGCATTGGGATCTGGGTGGGAGAAGGAAGGCTAAATGAGAGTGGTGTGTTTTATTTAGGTTAGTGGTGTCTGTGCCCTTCAGTCTGGCTGCTTTTTTCTTCCTTTCTTGATATCTAATGATTTAACATAGTATAATATTTCATGCTATATTATGAGAAAATGCCACCAAAATTTAAGATAGGGGAGATAAGAATGGCCATTTGTTATTTAATGTATGCCTTCAAACTAAGAAAAACTAGGAAAACCATGATACTCGCTACACCCCCCCCCCCAAAAAAAAGCATGCTCTGAAGGCAGGACAGAAGTGAGGTGAACTCAAGTTGAAATCACCCACAGTCCCCAGGGCACACAACACGCACAGGCATGGAGCAGTTTAGTTTGGGGGAGAAAGCAAAATGATCAGGGTTTGTGTGCTGACTGTGCCAAAAGTGATCAGGGTGACTTGGGCAAGCCGCTTACTTCCCCAAGAACTCATTGCCTTCCCTCACAGTAATGTGTGTGTGTGTGGGGGGGGGGGGGCTAGATTCCATGGTCATTAGAGGCCCGCGGGGGGTGTTATCAAGAACCCAAGGCTTGAACCAAACACAGGAATGCTTGGGGACATTGGCAAAGATGGTGAGAACTGGTCCTCCTGTTTGTCACCAGCCAGCTGCATGATGTTGATCAAGTCTCAAACTCTTTAGGTTGCAGATTCTTCCATTGCAAGATGGAAAGCTTTACATTAATACTAATGCAAGGGTCAATTGCAGTTCCTACAACTGTGAACATCTGAAGCAGAGGGGGGAGAGCAGAGGCAACCATGACCATGTGGTTAAAAGGAAGAGGATGAGTCACATGGAGGACATCAAGATGAACAAGAAACAAGACTCAACCCTGCTTCAGGCCAGGGTTTAAAACCAGGCTCCTATCTGACCTGACAGAATTTCCAAACTTTCTACCTCCTTATATGGCAAATATGGGCAGAAGAGAACATCTGCTCTCCATCTTCTACCTAATTAGCATATTTGATCTGTCACTGACACTTACTAACCGTACATAAAAAATGTACACTAAAATGCATTTGAAGAAGAGCAATGATTAAGTTTCGCTTGGTGTAAGACAGCCATTAAGTTATTCATACCAGCGAGTCCACAATTTCTCTTATAAGGCAATTTCTTTTTTTAAAAAAATATATTTTTATTGATTTCAGAGAGGAAGGGAGGGGAGAGAGAGAAAGAGAGAGAAAAACATCAATGATGAGAGATAATCATTGATCAGCTGCCTCCTACACGCCACACACTGGGGATCCAGCCTGCAACCCGGGCATGTGCCCCGACCAGGAATCAAACTGCAACCTCCTGATTCATAGTTTAACACTCAACCACTGAGCCATGCCAGCTGGGCAAGGCAATTTCTAATACTAATTTCTGTGAATTACTTAAATGACTTTTTCTAACATATTAGAATGCATATGGCACAGACTGTCCTTCTAGCCTTAATACTAAAGCTCTTACTAACACACATTTTATAGTTTTAATACATGTCCAAGTCTACTGAATATTTTCACACACACATACACACACACACACACACACACACTTATTTATTTTAAAAGCCCTCACACAACTTTAAGTTGTGTACTGTGTTAACCCTATTTTACAGCTGAGCAAACTAAGGCTTAAGTGGTACACGAGTACGAAGCAGAGCTCTGACCTTGAAGCATGTCTACCTGCATCAACCACGCTCTCAGTCACGACTTTTTAAAGCTCTGAGTAAACTCACTGTGTGCTGGTAGTGACCTTTAGTGTGGGTAGGGTAACAGGTAAAATTAGAAAGATTTGTGATTTATTCACGGCACCACTTGGCTGCAGCAGACAAACGGTTGTCTCGAGTCATTACACTGCAGTCAAGTTGGAGCTACTTGACATCCTCGTTTTCCCAAAGGAGACGGCAGGTAATAATCGGCATCTGAACACCACTTTTACAGCAGCAGGAGAGAACAGTACTTAGGGAGCTGCATGCCAACCCAGCTCTTCCCTCTCACACGCTGTGTGAACCTGGGCCAGCTCTAGCACTCGGGCAACAGGTAGCACATGTCTGCTGTTCATTTGAAAGGGATTACTAATTCTTACTACCACTCAGGTAGAAACTAGCTATTGACTTTTTACCACAATGAAAGATTTATAAAGACTGAGTGAGGTAATACTATGGTAATACTTCAGTTGATCCTCAAATAGATCCCATGATGAGTGTTTTAGAAAATAGGAAACTGAGGCATGGATGGGTTAGGGAATCTGCCCAGGTAACTCACAGATCTGCAATTTGAATCCAATGTCCTTTTAATAAATTAAATATAACTGAATAATTTAGAATAATCCCAAACAATACAATTAGCCAGCATTTGCTGAACTCTCACTCTTATTAATATTGCTGTTGTTGTGCCTAACAAGATAGAAAATAGACATTTCAGCTGCCAGGGGAAGGTGTGCCTGTAGGCTTAGGTTGCAGATATTATTGGCTTTCGGCTGAGGACATGGAGTAGAGAGAAACCCTTTTCAAGTCCATGATTCTGGAGGGCACCCTTTGCTAAATATATCAAGATCCTGATTGCTTCCAAAGAAGAAGGCAGTATTAAAAGAAAGCAGCAGAAACAAAATAATACAAAGCTCCCTGCAGTATAAAGGAGTTTATAGAAAGAAAAATGGTAACAGGAGGCTACTTGGATGTTAGTACAACCTGAGCACTCAGCTGTGTGACTCTCAGGCCACAAGTCAAGAGAAGAGATCCAAGAAAATGGTGCGGGGCACAAGCTGTCTCTGGACGCAGGCACTGCAGGGCCTTCCACACTCCTTTAGGGGAGGAGCATCTACTTGTCCAAACGCGTTCCTCCTGTACCTGCCAGGCTCAAACGATACTGAAAACAAGTCCTCAGTGGGCTTCTGAAAGCAACTTAGGTAAACTGGCTAAAAGACTAATTGGAAAAACTGCAAAGTTAATTGTTTCCTGGATGCATTTATAAAGAGGACAGTCCTTCATGTCATGACTGGGTACATGGTACTCAGGGCTCACAGTAACATACGACCCTTAAAAACTCACAGGTAAATTGTTTTTCTTTTGGTTGTTTCAACCCAGTATATTAAACAATGAAAACATTAAATAAGATAAAAATTTGTTTCAAAACTGTGAATGTAGTACCCATATTATATGTAGCAAAATGAATGAATAAAAGAATAGTGGATGTCCTCAAAAAGTAAACTACTATATCAATGTATTAGCATATTATGATCACTGTTGAATAAATAAAACAGTAATATATGTAAAACATCAATATTCCCTTTTCCTTTTACCCTAAAATATTCACTTTAATTTCATGTTGCAAACAACAAAATATATATACCATATATATGTATCTAAAATGAAAAAGTATCTATAGCCACCAGTACAATACCTCACCTATTATCTCTATTTTCATTCTAAGGCCCAGAAATAATGACTATCAGATATGCACCCAATATTTGTGAAGGCACATTGGGACTCAGCATGCACACTGCTGATAATCAGATTACAGTCTATATGAAACTGCAAGTCAGACAGACTCTAACCAGCTGGCCAACACACAAACCAGTTTGAGTGCTCAAAATTGATTTGTAAGTGATTTGCTCTGATGGCCTCCCTATTCCTTCTTGATCCTCGAAGACATTCTCAGCAACATAGTAATCTTGCAACCAGCGTGGCAAAGCGCACCATCTCTAACCTTAACTTTCTTCCCCATCCCAGACC